ATCTTACAAAACACTGTCGTATTGGCATTTATGACTATATTACATTTAAATTTTAAATTATCTACCAGCTATGAATTGCAAAAGACGTAAAAACTTAAATTACTTACTCTGAATCACTTTTTATAAGTAAATATCATTACCATACATATGCATGACATTATGTATAAATGAAATGCATGAAAATGTGTAACTATATTGTATATGGGATTTCAGTCTATATTTGAAATTGTTAAACTTGTCATAAGGTATGTCTTCCGTTAATTGTTATTTTCCAATTATTCTCTTTTTATTTTGCAAATTATGATTGTTTATTGAATATTTTTTCTTACCGCTCTCCTTTATATTAGCATATTGCTTCTTCATCTCATCAACTGTTTGTTTTACCAAACTGGATGTCCGGCATTAGTTTGATGTCTCGCTCTTGAGAACAGTTCTTGTAACTCATGTTTACTTGCAGCAGAGGGGGATTAAACGGGGAAGGTCCCTGAAGGGCCATGAAATGTTTAATAATTCAGGGATATAAAACAGATTGTATGGCTTGTTGACTTTCTGTACCATTGACTACACATATAGGTGAGCTTCAGTGCCGGGTCAGTGTCCACTCCAAACATCAGTCGACGTTGTGTGTGTGTTAACTGAGACTTTACAAGTAGAATGCTATATAAGTAGGTGATAGTGCCAGTGTGAGTCTGATTCCCCACCTGGGTACAATAAATGAAGCCCATTTCCGGTGTCCCTGGCCATGATATTGCTTGAATATTACTAAAAGTGGCAAAAAATACTACACACGCACACACAACACACACAGATTACAAAGCCTGGCTTATATATATATATATATATATACGCAGGGATCGATTTAGGGCTTTGTTACTTTCACTGGTGCAACCCAATCTTACACAGTGCAACCTAGTTATTAGTCTAACTTGCACCAGGTGTAAGTCAATATTTGAGTGGGTAAACCTTCGAATAAAAATCTAAATAATTTAGCAAATGTCTTTCATGACATATTGCAATAAAAGCAGTGCAACTGGAATTTGGCTGGTCCAACTAGGTTTTTATCTTAGGTTGCACCTGGTGCAAGTACGTTAACATCTCTTAAATCGAGCCCTGATAAGCATCTGCAGCCTGTATTCACATTGACTGACATGGGCTGATGTCATGATACACATTCACCAAACAGCCATACAAACAATGGTCGTACTTGAGTTTCATAAAAGGTGACTATGCTTGTCGTAAAAGGCGACTAACGGGATCGGGTGGTCAGGCTTGCTTACTTGGTTGACACATGTCATCGGTTCCCAATTGCGCAGATCGATGCTCATGCTGCTGATCACTGGATTATCTGGTCCAGACTCGATTATTTACGGACCGCCGCCATATAGCTGGAATATTGCTGAGTGCGGCGTAAAACTAAACTCACTCACTCGTACTTGCGTTATGTTAGTGTGAGTAAAGTTTTACGCTGCTTTTAGCAATATTCCGGCCATATCACAGTGAGGAATGCCAGAAATGGGCTTCTAACTTTGTAACCATGTGGGGAACCTGGGCGTGACGAGCGAATGCTTTAACCAATAGGCTATCCCACCGTACTGGAACTGTCATACATTACTACAGGCCTTAAGGTTCACAAAGTAATTGTAGCTCCTGCAATTATAGATTGCAGTAGTCACATTGATGTGATCACATCCACCAGAGAGTAGAGCCCTGTTCCTCGAAGCTAGGCTGGTGCTATGGTTATCACAACTCACATACATTAACATGCGTTGTTGTGTGTAATAGGCGGAGACGCCTCCTCATGTTCTCCATCCTTGAACAGACTATACATGGTGTCTTCATTTTCGGTTTTTTTCTTGTTTGAGTTTTTTCACTTCAGCCCCACCATCTGTGACATTTCTCTCACCTGTCTCTACGATTGCCTGTCTCTACCTGCCAATGTTAGTGATTGTAGGACATTTCTACTTCCATTGTTTAGGAATGTTCTACTGTTTTCATATTTATACGTATACAGTTTTTATAACTTTACCAGCCATTAGATATGCACTAGTTTTCTAAGTATGTGTTGTCGTTTGTTACTCAGTACAATGTCCACATGAACGTTATTGTCGATATTTTGCAAGCAGTGCAATAAAAAGTGAACAATTGCTGAAGTGTTTGTTTTCTTTCTTAGACATCCTTATTATATATTCTGTGTCATGTCCCGTGTGTGTGTCATGGGATTGGGATGTGGCACTGTGTGTGCTGTCAACCAGCGGTTGCTTGGATACAACTTTAATATTGTTGATTGCAGCGCTACAGAACATCCACTCACTAGTCCAGTGCAAGTTGTCATGGTGATAAGTTGTTGTTGCTTGGATACAACTTTAATATTGTTGATTGCAGCGCTACAGAACATCCACTCACTAGTCCAGTGCAAGTTGTCATGGTGATAAGTTGTTGTTGCTTGGATACAACTTTAATATTGTTGATTGCAGCGCTACAGAACAGCCACTCACTTGTCCAGTGCAAGTTGTCATGGTGATAAGTTGTTGTTGCTTGGATACAACTTTAATATTGTTGATTGCAGCGCTACAGAACAGCCACTCACTTGTCCAGTGCAAGTTGTCATGTGATAAGTTGTTGTTGCTTGGTTACAACTTTAATATTGTTGATTGCAGCGCTACAGAACAGCCACTCACTTGTCCAGTGCAAGTTGTCATGGTGATAAGTTGTTGATACAGGTGTGATGGACATCCTTGCTGGACAAATAAGTGTTGTGTGGTCAAGCCGGTATACCTGAAGGGCATGTGGTGACTTTACCTTGATTGTACCATATTACTGAAGAGGGGTCAACACACACTGATCATTGAGAGGATTCAGGGACTGAACACTCCCCACACTGCCCATGCTTGCCATACAAGTAAAATATCGAGGATCAGCAGGTTACAGTTAATTGTGTGGATTGTACCTGAAGATCAGCTAGTTACAAATCATTATGTGTGGATTGTACCTGAAGATCAGCTAGTTACAAATGATTGTGTGTGGATTGTACCTGAAGATCAGCTAGTTACAAATGATTGTGTGTGGATTGTACCTGAAGATCAGCTAGTTACAAATGATTGTGTGTGGATTGTACCTGAAGATCAGCTAGTTACAAATCATTATGTGTGGATTGTACCTGAAGATTAGCTAATTACAAATGATTGTGTGTGGATTGTACCTGAAGATCAGCTAGTTACAAATCATTATGTGTGGATTGTACCTGAAGATCAGCTAATTACAAATAATTGTGTTGATTATACCTGAGGATCAGCTAGTTACAAATGATTGTGTGTGGATTGTACCTGAAGATCAGCTAGTTACAAATAATTGTGTGGATTATACCTGAGGATCAGCTAATTAAAATGATTGTGTGTGGATTGTACCTGAAGATCAGCTAGTTACAAATGAATCTGTGTGGATTGTACCTGACGATTAGCTAGTTACAAATGATTGTGTTTGGATTGTACCTGAGGATCAGCTAGTTACAAATGATTTGTGTGGATTGTACCTGCAGATCAGGTAGTTACAAATGATTGTGTGTGGATTGTACCTGCAGATCAGCTAGTTACAAATGATTGTGTGTGGATTGTACCTGAGGATCAGCTAGTTACAAATGATTGTGTGTGGATTGTACCTGAAGATCAGCTAGTTACAAATGAATCTGTGTGGATTGTACCTGACGATTAGCTAGTTACAAATGATTGTGTTTGGATTGTACCTGAGGATCAGCTAGTTACAAATGATTTGTGTGGATTGTACCTGAGGATCAGCTAGTTACAAATGATTTGTGTGGATTGTACCTGAGGATCAGCTAGTTACAAATGATTGTGTGTGGATTGTACCTGAGGATCAGCTAGTTACAAATGATTGTGTGTGGATTGTACCTGCAGATCAGCTAGTTACAAATGATTGTGTGTGGATTGTACCTGAGGATCAGCTAGTTACAAATGATTGTGTGTGGATTGTACCTGAGGATCAGCTAGTTACAAATGATTGTGTGTGGATTGTACCTGCAGATCAGCTAGTTACAAATGATTGTGTGTGGATTGTACCTGAGGATCAGCTAGTTGCAAATGATTGTGTGTGGATTGTACCTGAGGATCAGGTAGTTACAAATGATTGTGTGTGGATTGTACCTGAGGATCAGCTAGTTACAAATGAATGTGTGTGGATTGTACCTGAGGATCAGCTAGTTACAAATGATTGTGTGTGGATTGTACCTGAAGATCAGGTAGTTACAAATGATTGTGTGTGGATTGTACCTGAGGATCAGGTAGTTACAAATGATTGTGTGTGGATTGTAGCTGAGTATGTATAAGTTACAACTGATTGTGTGTGGATTGTACCTGAGTATTAATTAGTTACAGCGTATCGTGTGTGGACTGTAGCTGAGGATCAACTGGTTACAATTGATTGTGTGTTGCACCACGACACAATGTGGGGGCAATCACCACAGACTTCCACCAGAGAAATCACCCAGTTGTACCAGTGGGTATTCCGGGTTGGCATTGGTTGACAGTGACCAGGTGATCAGGCTCTGCGACTTAGTTCATAGCGTGTCCTTGCGCCCCTATGAGACGGATCGCAGCTCACAATAAACCACTGGTTTCTCTAGTCCAGACTGAAACAGAGGCCAGGGGTTAGCTTAGTGGTTGCAGCGTTCACTAGTCTCTCGGAACATCCGGATTCGAATCACCAAATGTGTAGATGTATGAAACCCATTTCTGGTGTCTCCCACCATGTTATTGCTGGAATATCAGTGAAAGCGGTGTACAATATTGACCTTTCAGTCACTACAGATTCAATTCCAGTGCCCCGTTCCTCAAAGCGATCGTAACCCTGAGACGACCATAACTCCCATAGACTTACGACAGTCGTAAAGCTACGATCGCTTTGAGGAACGGGGCCCTGATCAATTGCAGGCCGCCGATGTGTTGTTAGAATGTTGTAAACATGAAACAAATAACTTGAAAAACAGGTGACTATAACTTATTGTGGTTTATTCCTGAGCTATTGCATTGACAATTGGATATTGGTATAAAATTATTTCTAAGATTCTTCAAGATCAAAGGCTGATTTACGTCATAACGTGAAACACACACTCACACTCACACCACAAAACACACGGCACCACACCAACACGTGTAAAACCCATTTCTGGTGTCCGCCCCCGTGGCATTACTTGAACATTGTAGGGGCGGTGAGGTAGCCTAGTGACGTTCACTCTTCACGCCGAAGTCCCGGGTTCGATTTCCCACATGGGCACATTGTGTTAAGCCCATTTCTGGTGCCCCCTGCCGTGATATTGCTGGAATATTGCTAAAACGGCGTCAAACTAAACTCACTCACTCACTGAATATTGTGATAGGCGGAGTCAAACCACACTCACTCATTCAGACGACAAGGCTGTCTGAGACAGTCGAGTAAATAAATGTGTCAGCCGGGCACCTGCAGTGACGATCTCTCCTAGACAGGTCCTTGCTGACGCGTCACATGCCTGTCTATTACACCAGCAGTGACGATCTCTCCAAGACAGGTCCTTGCTGACACGTTATATACCTGTGTATTTCACCTGCTGCGATGATCTCTCAAAGACAGTTCCTTGTGGACACGTTACACACCTGTCTATTACACCTGCAGTGACGATCTCACAAAGACAGGTGTTAGCTGACACGTTATATACCTGTCTATTATACCTGTATCGGTGATCTCTCAAAGACAGGTCCTCATGGACACGTTATATACCTGCCTATTACAGCTGCAGTGACGATCTCTCAAAGACAGGTCCTTATGGACACTTTATATACCTGTGTATTACACCTGCTGCGATGATCTCTCAAAGACAGTTCCTTGCTGACACGTTACATACCTGCCTATTACACCTGCAGTGACGATCTCTCCAAGACAGGTCCTTGCTGACACGTTACATACCTGTCTAATACACCTGTAGCGATGATCTCTCAAAGACAGTTCCTTGTGGACACGTTACATACCCGTCTATGAAACCTGCAGTGACGATCTCACAAAGACAGGCCCATGCTGACACGTTACATACCTGTCTATTACACCTGTAGCGATGATCTCTCAAAGACAGTTCCTCATGGACACGTTATATACCTGCCTATTACAGCTGCAGTGACGATCTCTCAAAGACAGGTGCTAATGGACACGTTACATACCTGTGCAGTACAGCTGCAGTTACGATCTCTCAAAGACAGGTCCTTGCTGACACGTTATATGCCTGTCTATTACAGCTGATGTGTCAACTATCTCTCAAAGACAGGTCCTAATGGACACGTTATATACCTGTCTATTACACGTGCAGTGACGATCTCTCAAAGACAGGTGCTAGCTGACACGTTATATACCTCTCTATTACAGCTGCAGTGACGATCTCTCAAAGACAGGTCCTTGCTGACACGTTATATACCTGTGTATTTCACCTGCTGCGACGATCTCTCAAAGACAGTTCCTTGTGGACACGTTACATACCTGTCTGTTACACCTGCAGTGACGATCTCACAAAGACAGGTCCTAGCTGCACGTTATATACCTGTCTATTACACCTGTAGCGGTGATCTCTCAAAGACAGGTCCTCATGGACACGTTAAATACCTGCCTATTGCAGCTGCAGTGACGATCTCCCAAAGACAGGTCCTTATGGACACGTTATATACCTGTGTATTACACCTGCTGCGATGATCTCTCAAAGACAGTTCCTTGCTGACACGTTACATACCTGCCTATTACACCTGCAGTGACGATCTCTCCAAGACAGGCCCATGCTGACACGTTACATACCTGTCTATTACACCTGTAGCGATGATCTCTCAAAGACAGTTCCCCATGGACACGTTATATACCTGCCTATTACAGTTGCAGTGACGATCTCTCAAAGACAGGTGCTAATGGACACGTTACATACCTGTGCAGTACAGCTGCAGTTACGATCTCTCAAAGACAGGTCCTTGCTGACACGTTATATGCCCGTCTATTACAGCTGAGGTGTCGACGATCTCTCAAAGACAGGTCCATGCTGACACATTATATACCTGTCTATTACACGTGCAGTGACCATCTCTCAAAGACAGGTGCTAGCTGACACGTTATATACCTGTCTATTACAGATGCAGTGACGATCTCTCAAAGACAGGTCCTAATAGACACGTTATATACCCGTCTATTACAAATGCAGTGATGATCTCTCAAAAACAGGTCCTTGTCGACACGTTATATACCTGTCTTTTCCACCTGCAGTGACGATTTCTCAAAGACAGGTCCTAATGGACATATTATATACCTGTCTGTTACAGCTGCAGTGACGATCTCTCAAAGACAGGTCCTAATAGACATATTATATACCTGTTTATTACACCTGCAGTGAAGATCTCTCGCAGACAAGTCCTCATGGACACGTTGTATACCTGCCTATTACAGCTGCAGTGACGATCTCTCAAAGACAGGTCCTTATGGACACGTTATATACTTGCCTATTACACGTGCAGCGATGATCTCACAAAGACAGGTCCTAATGGACACGTTATATACCTGGCTATTACACCTATTGTGACGATCTCTCCAAGACAGGTCCTCACGGACACGTTATATACCTGTCTATTACAGTTGCAGTGACGATCCCTCAAAGACAGGTCCTAATGGACACGTTATATACCTGCCTATTACACGTGCAGCGATGATCTCACAAAGACAGGTCCTAATGGACACGTTATATACCTGCCTATTACACCTGTTGTGACGATCTTTTAAAGACAGGTCCTTATGGACACATTATATACCTGCCTATAACACGTGCAGCGATGATCTCACAAAGACAGGTCCTAATGGACACGTTATACACCTGCCTATTACACCTGTTGTTACGATCTTTTAAAGACAGGTCCTTATGGACACGTTATATACCTGCCTATTACACGTGTAGCGATGATCTCACAAAGACAGGTCCTAATGGACACGTTATATACCTGCCTATTACACCTGTTGTGACGATCTCTCAAAGACAGGTCCTAATGGACACGTTATATACCTGCCTATTACACCTGTTGTGACGATCTTTTAAAGACAGGTCCTTATGGACACATTATATACCTGCCTATTACACGTGCAGCGATGATCTCACAAAGACAGGTCCTAATGGACACGTTATATACCTGCCTATTACACCTGTTGTGACGATCTTTTAAAGACAGGTCCTTATGGACACGTTATGCACCTGCCTGTTACAGCTGCAGTGACGATCTCTTAAAGACAGGTCCTTATGGACACGTTATATACCTGCCTACTACACGTGCAGCGATGATCTCTCAAAGACAGGTCCTAATGGACACGTTATATACCTGCCTATTACACCTGTTGTGACGATCCCTCAAAGACAAGTCCTCATGGACACGTTGTATACCTGCCTATTACAGCTGCAGTGACGATCCCTCAAAGACAAGTCCTCATGGACACGTTGTATACCTGCCTATTACAGCTGCAGTGACGATCTCTCAAAGACAGGTCCTTATGGACACGTTATATACCTGTCTATTACAGCTGCAGTGACGATCTCTCAAAGACTGGTCCTAATAGACATATTATATACCTGTCTATTACACCTGCAGTGACGATCTCTAACAGACAGGTCCTAGCTGACACGTTTTATACCTGTCTAGTAAAACCGAGGTGTCGACGATCTCTCCAAGACAGGTCCTAATCCACACGTAATATACCTGCCTATTACACGTGCAGCGATGATCTCACAAAGACAGGTCCTAATGGACACGTTATATACCTGCCTATTACACCTGTTGTGACGATCTTTTAAAGACAGGTCCTTATGGACACATTATACACCTGCCTATTACAGCTGCAGTGACGATCTCTTAAAGACAGGTCCTTATGGACACGTTATATACCTGCCTATTTCACGTGCAGCGATGATCTCACAAAGACAGGCCCTAGCTGACACGTTATATACCTGCCTATTACACCTGTTGTGAAGATCTCTCAAAGACAGGTCCTAATGGACATGTTGTATGCCCGTCTATTACAGCTGAGGTGTCGACGATCTCTCAAAGACAGGTCCTCATGGACACGTTATTTACCTGCCTATTACAGCTGCAGCGATGGACTCTCAAAGACAGGTCCTAGCGGACACGTTATCTATTGGTGTCATCAGCTGCTGAGCGGGATACGTCTGTTGCACGTACAAGTGAGCACCGCAACGTGAGATACACCTCACGTCCCAAAACTCGTGCAGGAATACCAGAAAGATACTTGTCGGGATGTGGGCGAGGACGAGGGTATGAGAGACAGTTACAACTTAAAGTCTATATCAGGACTTCCAGCAACACTGACTCACCAGTGAGTATCACAAGCATTTGATGACTCGTGCCTTAGTGTCAGTACAGACGAGACACGGATCAAGGATATAGTCAATGGTGATATATTTAATGACTAGGTTATATTTAACAAGGATACGGAGTTCAACGGTAGGAAATCATTAAGTGCCCATTGTGTTCTGCACCTAACAATTATCCGCCCCAGAGAACGCCCACTGCACAATCACTCGTTCTACGAAACATCCTCCTTATCCACCCACCCATCAAAACACATCTCTCCACCCACAAGTCCGACACCCATCAACCTGTCATCAACATACACCCCGACTCTCCACCCACAAGTCAGACACCTATCAATCTGCCATCAACATACACCCCAACTCTCCACCCACAAGTCCGACACCCATCAACCTGCCATCAACATTCACTCCTGACTCAAACACTCTGACTTCAACTCCACAACCACCCTGACTTCTCCATACAAGTCCGACACCCATCAACCTGACTCTTCCACCCACAAGTCCGACACCTATCTATACATACACCCTGACTCTCCACCCACAAGTCCGACACCCATAAACCCTGCAACCATCAACATACAGCCTGACTTCCACCCACAAGTCCGACACCCATCAACCTGCCATCAACATACACCCCGACTCTCCACCCACAAGTCAGACACCCATCAACCTGCCATCAACATACACCCCGACTCTCCACCCACAAGTCCGACACCCATCAACCTGCCATCAACATACACCCCGACTTCCACCCACAAGTCAGACACCTATCCTATCAACCTGCTATCAACCTGCTATCAACATACACCCTGACTTTCCACCCACAAGTCCGACCTGCACAACCATCAACCCCAAGTCCGACACCCATCAACCTGCATCAACATACATCCTGACTTCCACCCACAAGTCTGACACCCATCAACCTGCCATCAACATACACTCCACCCACAAGTCCTACACCCATCAACTGCCATCAACATACACCACTTCCACCCACAAGTCCGACACCCATCGATCAACATACACCGCGACTCTCCACCCACAAGTCCGACACCCATCAACCTGCATCTGAACCCACAAGTCAGACACCCCATCAACCTGCTATCAACATACACCCTGACTTTCCACCCACAAGTCCGATCAACCCATCATCTGACTTCCACCCACTGACACCCATCAACCTGCATCAACATACACCCTGACTCTCCACCCACAAGTCAGACACCCATCAATCTGCCATCAACATACACCCTGACTCTCCACCCACAAGACACCCATCAACCTGCCATCAACATATACACCCTGACTTCTCCACCCACAAGTCAGACACCCATCAACCAAGCTATCAACATACACCCTGACACACCTATCAACCTGCCATCAACATACACCCTGACTCTCCACCCACAAGTCCGACACCCATCAACCAAGCATCAACATACACCCTGACTTCCACCCCAAGTCCGACACCCATCAACTCCATCCATACACCCTGACCCACAAGTCCGACACCCATCAACCTGCCATCAACATACACCCCGACTCTCCACCCACAAGTCCGACACCCATCAACCTGCCATCAACATACACCCCGACTCTCCACCCACAAGTCCGACACCCATCAACACCAATATACACCCTGACTCCACCCACAAGTCCCACCCACTGACTTCCACCCAAGTCCGACACCCATCAACCTGCCATCAACATACACCCTGACTTCCACCCACAAGTCCGACACCCATCAACATCAACATACACCCTGACTTCCACCCACAAGTCACCCATGACACCCATCAACCTGCCATCAACATACACCCTGACTTCCACCCACAAGTCCGACACCCATCAACCTGCCATCAACATACACCCCGACTCTCCACCCACAAGTCCGACACCCATCAACCTGCCATCAACATACACCCCGACTCTCCACCCACAAGTCCGACACCCATCAACCTGCCATCAACATACACCCCGACTCTCCACCCACAAGTCCGACACCCATCAACCTGCCATCAACATACATCAACATATACCCTGACTCTCCACCCACAAGTCTCGACACCCATCAACCTGCCATCAACATACACCCCGACTCTCCACCCACAAGTCCGACACCCATCAACCTGCCATCAACATACACCCCGACTCTCCACCCACAAGTCCGACACCCATCAACCTGCCATCAACATACACCCCGACTCTCCACCCACAAGTCCCATCAACCCATCAACATCTCCGACACCCAATCAACATACACCCCGACTCTCCACCCACAAGTCCGACACCCATCAACCTGCCATCAACATACACCCCGACTCTTCACCCCACATATACTCCAAGGTAATTTTGTACCTACCCGCACCACCCTCTCTACAATAAATATGACCCACCAACAATCAACCCTGTATATCTCGTCCCCACGAAACCCTCCCTGACTGTTCATCTTTCCCACCGTCAAACATACCCAGTAGTGCCCATAGTAAGTCTACACTAATGCAGTTTCAGGGTGAAGAAATTCATTGGGCTCCTATTTATTATATTCAATTTAGATGATTTAATAACTATTTTCTTCTGTAAACTATCTTCATTCCTGAAACTAGACGTTACGACAAACTCTCCACCCCAAGTTCTTCCAACTCCGAACCCTCACCCACCAACCCTCCAACCCTCCTCCTAAATATCAAATCCACCAGCCCCCAAACCATCCACCCCACAATCCATCCACCCAGCAGTCCATTTAAACATAAAATCCCTTAACCCCAAAAGCCCTCATCCCAGCGACCCACAAACCACACACCTCACAAAACCGTCCACCCCAACACCCTTGTACACAGCGATCCCAACACTACAATCCGTCCAATCCAGAAACGTTCTGTCTATGGGCCCTCCTCTCCAGTCACATCCACGCCTTACAGGGGTCATATCAAAACAGATCTCTTTATCTCATTGTATCTGTACTGAGGTCACATCTTCCTGTACCCCCTGTTACTATAAATACAACGCTGATGGGAAGATATGCAGTATTCTCTGTGCACGTTACCAGCTGCAAGGGGGCGAACACATGTAGATACACCGCGGTTCGCGACACCTTGCGTCGAGTCGTCAGTCTGTCAATCATTTCAAATCTCCGCCCACAGTTCCTTATAAGGCACCATTTTCAGGGAATTACTACCAAATAATACTAATGTGTACAATGATATCAGCTCACATCGACAAGCACCCCAAACAGATAGAATTGTTTTTGTAATTACCGATCAATGCAGACACGGCGATATTTACCGGCGTAAGAGATATGGAGAGGCAAGACGTCGCCAGACTTGGAAATGGATTTCCTACTTCAGATAACCGCTACCTCCAGTGCGTTAACGGCATTGCACCCAGACACACGTGCAACTGCAGACACCACGTGAATATATGTGTTGTTGTTTGTGTGTTGTTGACATTGACGACTCTGTCCGCGTGTTTGTACACAGTCGTGTGTTCACGCCAGGTCACCGAACAGGTGATTCTGCTACACAAGTTGCAGACACTGACCCACAATGGTGACAGTGAATATTACCACGATTCTGACGAGATTGTCCAGATGTACCCTGGTCAGGTAAGTGGACGTGAAGTGCATGCCATGTTTAAAAGTGGGTCACACTCGGTGTGTGACACATATTTGTGGTGTAACAGTAAAGGTAGATAACTCGTGGTGGCATATTGTCATGGTTGCGGGGCGCCCCAGTCTGTGAATCGTTTATCGTCGGACCAAGCACGGCAGCACATATAGAATTAGCATACAACCACAGTGTACAAGGATGGTCACCTACGCTTGCTGGAACATTTGAGTTACTTTTGGGGATATAGATATACACGTCACATGGAACTGACTATAAAGCAATTTCCCAATCTCATATACACAGACTTGTCAGTGTCACTTACCATTTGACCTGATGCACGTGCACCTTCACAGCTATTTCTTGCCACTCGAACTGATGCACGTGCCCTCTCAGAACTTATTCACTTTCACTTGATGCACGTGTTCCTTCAGGATTAATTCACTTTCACCTGATGCACGTCTCAGGACTAATTCCTACATCTTCACTTTAAGCACGTTCCCTCTTAGAACTAATACTAATATTTTCACATGATGCACGTACCCTCTCAGGACTAATTCCTACACCTTCACTTTAAGCACGTACCCTCTCAGAACTAATTCCTACACTTTCACATGATGCACGTGCCCTCTCAGAACTAATTCGTGCACTTTCACATGATGCACGTGCCCTCTCAGAACTAATTCCTACACTTTCACTTTAAGCACGTTCCCTCTCAGAACTAATTCCTACTTTCACTTTAAGCACGTTCCCTCTCAGAACTAATTCCTATATTTTCACATGATGCACGTACCCTCTCAGGACTAATTCCTACACCTTCACATGATGCACGTGCCCTCTCAGAACTAATTCGTGCACTTTCACATGATGCACGTGCCCTCTCAGAACTAATTCCTATACTTTCACTTTAAGAACGTGCCCTCTCAGAACTAATTCCTACACTTTCACTTCTTTAAGCACGTTCCTCTCAGAACTAATTCCTACATTTTCACTTTAAGCACGTTCCCTCTCAGAACTAACACCTTTGTTTTCACATGATGCACGTGCCCTCTCAGAACTAATTCCTACACTTTCACATGATGCACGTTCCCTCTCAGGACTAATTCCTACACTTTCACATGGTGCACGTGCCCTCTCAGAACTAATTCGTGCACTTTCACATGATGCACGTTCCCTCTCAGAACTAATTCCTACACTTTCACTTTAAGAACGTGCCCTCTCAGAACTAATTCGTGCACTTTCACCTGATGCACGTGTCCTCTCAGAACTAATTCCCTTTCGTCCGCATCACGTGTCCCTTCAGAACTAAATCACTTTCATCCGATACACGTACCCTCTCAGGACTAATTTCTACACTTTCACTTTAAGCACGTACCCTCTCAGAACTAATTCCTACACTTTCACTTTAAGCACGTTCCCTCTCAGAACTAATTCCTACATTCACTTTAAGCACGTTCCCTCTCAGAACTAATTCCTATATTTTCACATGATGCACGTACCCTCTCAGGACTAATTCCTACACCTTCACCTGATGCACGTGCCCTCTCAGAACTAATTCGTGCACTTTCACATGATGCACGTGCCCTCTCAGACATAATTCCTATACTTTCACTTTAAGAACGTGCCCTCTCAGAACTAATTCCTACACTTTCACTTTAAGCACGTTCCCTCTCAGAACTAATTCCTACACTTTCACTTTAAGCACGTTCCCTCTCAGAACTAACACCTTTGTTTTCACATGATGCACGTACCCTCTCAGAACTAATTCCTACACTTTCACATGATGCACGTTCCCTCTCAGGACTAATTCCTACACTTTCACATGATGCACGTGCCCTCTCAGAACTAATTCGTGCACTTTCACCTGATGCACGTGTCCTCTCAGAACTAATTCCCTTTCGTCCGCATCACGTGTCCCTTCAGAACTAAATCACTTTCATCCGATACACGTACCCTCTCAGGACTAATTTCTACACTTTCACTTTAAGCACGTACCCTCTCAGAACTAATTCCTACACTTTCACTTTAAGCACGTACCCTCTCAGAACTAATTCCTACACTTTCACTTTAAGCACGTTCCCTCTCAGGACTAATTCCTACACCTTCACATGATGCACGTGCCCTCTCAGAACTAATTCGTGCACTTTCACATGATGCACGTGCCCTCTCAGAACTAATTCCTATACTTTCACTTTAAGAACGTGCCCTCTCAGAACTAATTCCTACACTTTCACTTTAAGCACGTTCCCTCTCAGAACTAATTCCTACACTTTCACTTTAAGCACGTTCCCTCTCAGAACTAACACCTATGTTTTCACATGATGCACGTACCCTCTCAGAACTAATTCCTACACTTTCACATGATGCACGTTCCCTCTCAGGACTAATTCCTACACTTTCACATGATGCACGTGCCCTCTCAGAACTAATTCGTGCACTTTCATATGATGCACGTGCCCTCTAAGAACTAATTCCTACACTTTCACTTTAAGAACGTGCCCTCTCAGAACTAATTCCTACACTTTCACATGATGCACGTGTCCTCTCAGAACTAATTCCCTTTCGTCCGCATCACGTGTCCCTTCAGAACTAAATCACTTTCATCCGATACACGTACCCTCTCAGGACTAATTCCTACACTTTCACTTTAAGCACGTACCCTCTCAGAACTAATTCCTACACTTTCACTTTAAGCACGTTCCCTCTCAGAACTAATTCCTACACCTTCACTTTAAGCACGTTCCCTCTCAGAACTAATTCCTACACTTTCACATGATACACGTTCCCTCTCAGGACTAATTCCTACACTTTCACATGATGCACGTGCCCTCTCAGAACTAATTCGTGCACTTTCACATGATGCACGTGCCCTCTCAGAACTAATTCCTATACTTTCACTTTAAGAACGTGCCCTCTCAGAACTAATTCCTGCACTTTCACCTGATGCACGTGTCCTCTCTGAACTAATTCCCTTTCGTCCGCATCACGTGTCCCTTCAGAATTAAATCACTTTCATCCGATACACGTGCCATCTGAGGACAAATTTACTTTCACCTGATGCACGTGTCCTCTCAGAAATATCTCATGCACCTTCACCTTCTGTGTTCAGCATCCCAGACAATGTGCGGTATCCGGTATCCTGGTCAACATAGTTACTACCGCAGCCCATCATCAATACCTGTATATGTTTACAGTAACCGGTTACTTAGAGTAGTAGACACTGGATGCCTGTATATCTTCTCCAGAGGTCAAGCGAGGAGGGGCGGTTTGTGGGTAAGCTCCCTTACCCTGGGCCTCCTAGGGTGCGCCGTGAGATTCACCCAGCCACCAAGAAACCTAAAAAGAAGAGAAGGAAAAATCAGAATGGGCGAAATGGAAAGAAAGGATCCAAGAAGGGAGGCGGCAAATGTAAGTTGAGTGGCGATCAAAGTTTCATGAAGGGGTAGATTGCAATGTTTTCCACAGGAGATGTAAATGTAAACTTCGTGCAAATTTAACTACATCTGACAGTTTCACTGGCCGATTAGCAAAGCTTTATTGTTAGAGAACCTACTGGAACCAGTGTTTGTATACTTTCAGTTTGTAAGAGACTAGCCAAGTGTCAGCCACCGCCGTCCCCATCAGTGACAGGTGTGTATCTGTGTGTTGACGCACGGGCTGTGCTGTATATAGAACTAGGCTGTCACAGGGATCTGACGTCTTTATCTCCAAAATGTTCATGGGCCTGGTGAATTTGTCTTCAGCAACCCATCCTTATCGTAAAAGACAACTAACGGGATCCAGTGGTTGAGGCACAATATCGTCACTCACTGGATTGTCTGGTGCAGACTAGATTGATTACAAACCGCCGTCATATAGCTGGAATATTGTTAGGTGCGGCGTTAAACAAAAAACAAACAACTATTGAAAAATGTATATTATAAAATACAGTACACGACCACAGAAACATACATACACTCGCATGTACACCCACGCGAACACACACACACACACACACACACACACGCACGCACACACTTACCCACTGTCGCTCTAGTGTCACATGTGTATCTACCTATAAGTAAAAGCGAATGTTAATATCGTAGTCAATGTATCACACAGTATACATCGTCCATCACAGATTCTCTGAATCTACTACAACAGATATGGAACAGTCTTGATCTACTTGACACATTGTTAAACATTCGACAGACATTATGGTAGTATTCATTCACTATTTACACCATTTCTCTTTTCAGCTCCAACTCAAACCAAGGTAAGCTCATGTCCGTCACTCTGTAGGACACTTCTCAGCTCCAACTCCAACCAAGGTAAGCTCATGTCCATCACTCTGTAGGACACTTCTCAGCTCCAACTCCAACAAAGGTAAGCTCATGTCCGTCAGTCTGTAGGACACTTCTCAGCTCCAACTCCACCAAAGGTAAGCTCATGTCCGTCACTCTGTAGGACACTTCTCAGCTTCAACTCTACCAAAGGTAAGCTCATGTCCGTCACTCTGTAGGACACTTCTCAGCTCCAACTCCAACAAAGGTAAGCGCATGTCCGTCACTCTGTAGGACACTTCTCAGCTCCAACTCCAACAAAGGTAAGCTCATGTCCGTTAGTCTGTAGGACACTTCTCAGCTCCAACTCCACCAAAGGTAAGCTCATGTCCGTCACTCTGTAGGACACTTCTCAGCTCCAACTCCAACCAAGGTAAGCTCATGTCCGTCAGTCCGTAGGACACTTCTCAGCTCAAATTCCAACAAAGGTAAGCTCATGTCCGTCACTCTGTAGGACACTTCTCAGCTCCAACTCCACCAAAGGTAAGCTCATGTCCGTCACTCTGTAGGACACTTCTCAGCTCCAACTCCACCAAAGGTAAGCTCATATCCGTCAGTCTATAGGACACTTCTCAGCTCCAACTCCAACAAAGGTAAGCTCATGTCCGTCACTCTGTAGGACACTTCTCAGCTCCAACTCCAACCAAGGTAAGCTCATGTCCGTCAGTCTGTAGGACACTTCTCAGCTCCAACTCCAACCAAGGTAAGCTCATGTCCGTCACTCTGTAGGACACTTCTCAGCTCCAACTCCAACAAAGGTAAGCTCATGTCCGTCAGTCTGTAGGACACTTCTCAGCTCCAACTCCAACAAAGGTAAGCTCATGTCCGTCACTCTGTAGGACACTTCTCAGCTCCAGCTCCAACAAAGGTAAACGCATGTCCGTTAGTCTGTAGGACACTTCTCAGCTCCAACTCCACCAAAGGTAAGCTCATGTCCGTCAGTCTGTAGGACACTTCTCAGCTCCAACTCCAACCAAGGTAAGCTCATGTCCGTCAGTCTGTAGGACACTTCTCAGCTCCAACTCCAACAAAGGTAAGCTCATGTCCGTCAGTCTGTAGGACACTTCTCAGCTCCAACTCCACCAAAGGTAAGCTCATGTCCGTCAGTTATAGGACATTTCTCAGCTCCAACTCCAACCAAGGTAAGCTCATGTCCGTCACTCTGTAGGACACTTCTCAGCTCCAACTCCACCAAAGGTAAGCTCATGTCCGTCACTCTGTAGGACACTTCTCAGCTCCAACTCCAGCCAAGGTAAGCTCATGTCCGTCACTCTGTAGGACACTTCTCAGCTCCAACTCCAACAAAGGTAAACTCATGTCCGTTAGTCTGTAGGACACTTCTCAGCTCCAACTCCAACCAAGGTAAGCTCATGTCCGTTAGTCTATAGGACACTTCTCAGCTCCAACTCCACCAAAGGTAAACCCCTGTCCCTTCAGTCTGTAGGACACTTCTCAGCTCCAACTCCACCAAAGGCAAGCTCATGTCCGTCACTCTGTAGGACACTTCTCAGCTCCAACTCCAACCAAGGAAAGCTCATGTCCGTTAGTCTATAGGACACTTCTCAGCTCCAACTCCACCAAAGGTAAGCTCATGTCCGTCACTCTGTAGGACACTTCTCAGCTCCAACTCCACCAAAGGTAAGCTCATGTCTGTCAGTCTGTATGACACTTCTCAGCTCCAACTCCAACAAAGGTAAACTCATGTCCGTTAGTCTGTAGGACACTTCTCAGCTCCAACTCCACCAAAGGTAAACCCCTGTCCCGTGAGTCTGTAGGACACTTCTCAGCTCCAACTCCATCAAAGGTAAGCTCATGTCCGTCAGTCTGTAGGACACTTCTCAGCTCCAACTCCACCAAAGGTGAGCTCATGTCCGTTAGTCTATAGGACACTTCTCAGCTCCAACTCCACCAAAGGTAAGCTCATGTCCGTCACTCTGTAGGACACTTCTCAGCTCCAACTCCACCAAAGGTAAGCTCATGTCCGTCACTCTGTAGGACACTTCTCAGCTCCAACTCCACCAAAGGTAAGCTCATGTCCGTCACTCTGTAGGACACTTCTCAGCTCCAACTCCACCAAAGGTAAGCTCATATCCGTCAGTCTATAGGACACTTCTCAGCTCCAACTCCAACAAAGGTAAGCTCATGTCCGTCACTCTGTAGGACACTTTCAGCTCAACTCCAACCAAGGTAAGCTCATGTCCGTCAGTCTGTAGGACACTTCTCAGCTCCAACTCCAACCAAGGTAAGCTCATGTCCGTCACTCTGTAGGACACTTCTCAGCTCCAACTCCAACAAAGGTAAGCTCATGTCCGTCAGTCTGTAGGACACTTCTCAGCTCCAACTCCAACAAAGGTAAGCTCATGTCCGTCACTCTCTGTAGGACACTTCTCAGCTCCAGCTCCAACAAAGGTAAACGCATGTCCGTTAGTCTGTAGGACACTTCTCAGCTCCAACTCCACCAAAGGTAAGCTCATGTCCGTCAGTCTGTAGGACACTTCTCAGCTCCAACTCCAACCAAGGTAAGCTCATGTCCGTCAGTCTGTAGGACACTTCTCAGCTCCAACTCCAACAAAGGTAAGCTCATGTCCGTCAGTCTGTAGGACACTTCTCAGCTCCAACTCCACCAAAGGTAAGCTCATGTCCGTCAGTTATAGGACATTTCTCAGCTCCAACTCCAACCAAGGTAAGCTCATGTCCGTCACTCTGTAGGACACTTCTCAGCTCCAACTCCACCAAAGGTAAGCTCATGTCCGTCACTCTGTAGGACACTTCTCAGCTCCAACTCCAGCCAAGGTAAGCTCATGTCCGTCACTCTGTAGGACACTTCTCAGCTCCAACTCCAACAAAGGTAAACTCATGTCCGTTAGTCTGTAGGACACTTCTCAGCTCCAACTCCAACCAAGGTAAGCTCATGTCCGTTAGTCTATAGGACACTTCTCAGCTCCAACTCCACCAAAGGTAAACCCCTGTCCCTTCAGTCTGTAGGACACTTCTCAGCTCCAACTCCACCAAAGGCAAGCTCATGTCCGTCACTCTGTAGGACACTTCTCAGCTCCAACTCCAACCAAGGAAAGCTCATGTCCGTTAGTCTATAGGACACTTCTCAGCTCCAACTCCACCAAAGGTAAGCTCATGTCCGTCACTCTGTAGGACACTTCTCAGCTCCAACTCCACCCAAAGGTAAGCTCATGTCTGTCAGTCTGTATGACACTTCTCAGCTCCAACTCCAACAAAGGTAAGCTCATGTCCGTTAGTCTGTAGGACACTTCTCAGCTCCAACTCCACCAAAGGTAAACCCCTGTCCCGTGAGTCTGTAGGACACTTCTCAGCTCCAACTCCATCAAAGGTAAGCTCATGTCCGTCAGTCTGTAGGACACTTCTCAGCTCCAACTCCACCAAAGGTGAGCTCATGTCCGTTAGTCTATAGGACACTTCTCAGCTCCAACTCCACCAAAGGTAAGCTCATGTCCGTCACTCTGTAGGACACTTCTCAGCTCCAACTCCACCAAAGGTAAGCTCATGTCCGTCACTCTGTAGGACACTTCTCAGCTCCAACTCCACCAAAGGTAAGCTCATGTCCGTCACTCTGTAGAACACTTCTCAGCTCCAACTCCACCAAAGGTAAGCTCATGTCCGTTACTCTGTAGGACACTTCTCAGCTCCAACTCCACCAAAGGTAAGCTCATGTCCGTCAGTCTGTAGGACACTTCTCAGCTCCAACTCCAACCAATGTAAACTCATGTCCGTTAGTCTGTAGGACACTTCTCAGCTCCAACTCCACCAAAGGTAAACCCCTGTCCCGTGAGTCTGTAGGACACTTCTCAGCTCCAACTCCAACCAAGGTAAGCTCATGTCCGTCAGTTATAAGACACTTCTCAGCTCCAACTCCAACCAAGGTAAGCTTATGTCCGTCAGTCTGTAGGACACTTCTCAGCTCCAACTCCAACCAAGGTAAGCTCATGTCCGTCACTCTGTAGGACACTTCTCAGCTCCAACTCCAACAAAGGTAAACGCATGTCCGTTAGTCTGTAGGACACTTCTCAGCTTCAACTCCACCAAAGGTAAGCTCATGTCCGTCACTCTGTAGGACACTTCTCAGCTCCAACTCCAACCAAGGTAAGCTCATGTCCGTCACTCTGTAGGACACTTCTCAGCTCCAACTCCACCAAAGGTAAGCTCATGTCCGTCAGTCTGTAGGACACTTCTCAGCTCCAACTCCAACCAAGGTAAACTCATGTCCGTTAGTCTGTAGGACACTTCTCAGCTCCAACTCCACCAAAGGTAAACCCCTGTCCCGTGAGTCTGTAGGACACTTCTCAGCTCCAACTCCAACCAAGGTAAGCTCATGTCCGTCAGTTATAAGACACTTCTCAGCTCCAACTCCAACCAAGGTAAGCTTATGTCCGTCAGTCTGTAGGACACTTCTCAGCTCCAACTCCAACCAAGGTAAGCTCATGTCCGTCACTCTGTAGGACACTTCTCAGCTCCAACTCCAACAAAGGTAAACGCATGTCCGTTAGTCTGTAGGACACTTCTCAGCTTCAACTCCACCAAAGGTAAGCTCATGTCCGTCACTCTGTAGGACACTTCTCAGCTCCAACTCCAACAAAGGTAAACGCATGTCCGTTAGTCTGTAGGACACTTCTCAGCTCCAACTCCAACCAAGGTAAGCTCATGTCCGTTAGTCTATAGGACACTTCTCAGCTCCAACTCCACCAAAGGTAAGCTCATGTCCGTCACTCTGTAGGACACTTCTCAGCTCCAACTCCACCAAAGGTAAACTCATGTCCGTCACTCTGTAGGACACTTCTCAGCTCCAACTCCAACCAAGGTAAACTCATGTCCGTTAGTCTGTTGGACACTTCTCAGCTCCAACTCCACCAAAGGTGAGCTTATGTCCGTTGGTCTATAGGACACTTCTCAGCTCCAACTCCACCAAAGGTAAGCTCATGTCCGTCACTCTGTAGGACACTTCTCAGCTCCAACTCCACCAAAGGTAAGCTCATATCCGTCAGTCTATAGGACACTTCTCAGCTCCAACTCCACCAAAGGTAAGCTCATGTCCGTCACTCTGTAGGACACTTCTCAGCTCCAACTCCACCAAAGGTAAGCTCATGTCCGTCACTCTGTAGGACACTTCTCAGCTCCAACTCCACCAAAGGTAAGCTCATGTCCGTCAGTCTGTAGGACACTTCTCAGCTCCATCTCCAACCAAGGTAAGCTCATGTCCGTCAGTCTATAGGACACTCTCAGCTCCTACTCCACACAGGTAAGCCCACGTCCCGTCAGGCCGTATGACACTTTCCTCCTCCACCGTGTGGATCAGCTGGACACTTCAGGTACAGGAAAGGATATACAAAGTGGATTGTGACACACAAAGAAAATCACTAACATGTTCATGACTTTACTGAAAACAGTCGCCGAATCACGGCCAACTAAAGGTCCAATATCGCAGTTGTGTCCGTATCAGAGATCCCTCTGTCGTGTGTGTGGCCATGCTGGAGTAGCCATGGTCATGGTAGCTCATGGTTGCGGCATGGTATCTCATTTGGTAGCGGTATCAAATCGTATCTACTCCAGTGGTAGTACAAGCACGCACACACACACACACATGCACATGCACAAAGAGACAATAATCATTAACTCTTGCAATTGTCATGGATTCCGGAACCGTTATTCAGTTGTAACGCTAGAACCGAACTACAGAAAGTCAGGCTAAGTCGACTGATTGTCATCGTACAACCATGTTGTCGGGCTAAGTCGACTGATTGTCATCGTACAACCATGTTGTCGGGCTAAGTCGACTGATTGTTATCATACAACCATGTTGTCGGGCTAAGTCGACTGACTGTCATCGTACAACCATGTTGTCGGGCTAAGTCGACTGATTGTCATCGTACAACCATGTTGTCGGGCTAAGTCGACTGATTGTTATCATACAACCATGTTGTCGGGCTAAGTCGACTGACTGTCATCCTACAACCATGTTGTTGGGCTAAGTCGAGTGATTGTCATCGTACAACCATGTTGTTGGGCTAAGTCGAGTGATTGTCATCGTACAACCATGTTGTTGGCCTAAGTCGAGTGATTGTCATCGTACAACCATGTCGACTGTTCCCCACACCACCAGCCACTGAGTTGCTGGTCAACAACTATCTGCGATGTGGCTGTAGTGTAAATATCACTCTCACGTGTGACTCGTCAGGTAACAAATGAACGTTTTCTCGTTGCAGACTCATTCCCCGAGAGCGTCACATTTCACTGTGGACGGATCCTTCGTGTCTGGTAGGTCCCTGTGTCGCTAGTTGATCCGTCATGTGTCTGTTATGTGTTCTGTGTCATCTCGCAAGCTAAACCGAGCACACCTAATACCAGTGTTACTTGGAAACTCTCAACGTGCTGCTTACATTAATGTTTAGACTGTACTGCGGTTGGCGGCGTAGTAGTCAAGACGTACACTCGTCAGGCTGTAGATCTGGGTTCGATTCTCACAGTGGTTCCGTGTGTACCCCGCGCTGACGCAGCGGTACGATCACCACACATTAAGTATAACCCCGCTCACTGCATTGTTGATACTGAAGTGAAAGTTTATTGTGTATGTATTTGACCTGTCGACAGCGACAACAGTTTACAGCCAATATCCTCTCTTTGCTAACCGTCAGTGAAACACACGGGTGTAGACGCTTTGCCTGACACTTGCATGAGGTAGCCTAGTGGTTCAAGTGTTCGCCTGTCACGCCAGAATCCTGGTTTCACTTAGCTCACGAAGGTTATCATTTTGCAGCGTCCTTAACCTTTCTATAACTGAACTCCACTGGTAATTACTGTTTCTTGTGCTCAGGTCAGACCATCGGGTCTCTACATCCGGCACCCTGGATCAATGCGCATGTCACAGAGGCGGCCATTTCACGTGACAGTAGTTTGTTTGTAGTGGAGAGTGGCGTGTACCTCGTCTACACAAGTGTAAGTACCCGATTTCCTAATTTGTTTGTAGTTCAACGCCAAACTCAGCAATAATCCAGCAATACGACAAATACATGGACCTATACAGACAGGACAACATTAGACAGACAGGGCGTTTTAAGATGTGCCACAAGTACCTTGATAATACATGCTTAGGAAGAAGCCTTCAGAAGAAGGATGTCAGTATATTATTTATAACATACCCTGTGAGATGTGAAAGTCGACCTCCAGATAATAAAATGTCTATGATATTAAAATAAACTTGCATCTAGATGTTAATTTAGAAAACCAATAATCAAATCATTTAATCTGAACGTTGAGCTATTCAGTTGTTGTACAAAATAATGTACTGTGGGTATTTATGAAATAGTGTTTCAATAGTGTTTTCATTGTGACGCACAAGGTGTGATTTCTTTGGTAAGTCAGTATACATATTTTTGTAAAGTACATGGACTGTGTTCCTGAAGAACCATCGGGGACTTTTATAGAGTGCTGGAAAATTCTGCAAGAATTATGAATCGATTATGAATTACGAATGTGAGCTGTTGTTGCCGCGTGGTCCAACGTGGTACTCCCTAGCAGGGAGCCGCGGGTCATGGATCCAATCCATAGGTCGCCCTGATAGAGTGATGCAGGTGAAACCCCTAGTGCCAGAAAACTATCTCATCTGACCATCTAGAAAACCTGGTTGAAACATACATGCCTGAAAACATTTTAACGGTTATAGAACCAAATAACGAGTTTCAATCAATGTTGTAATTCAGTCACCCAGATACATTTCACCGATATTTTCCCTTCACGCCCAAAGAAATCTGCTTGGCCCGATGATCATTATCTGTCGTTCACATTTCATATTTAATGAGGTTAAAAGAGGTTGTAACATGCAAAATTGATGTTTATTTTGAATGAAATAATATATATGTTCCTAAATGAGAGAAGTTTACTGTCACACTGCCAGCGCAGTAACGTACATCTCGGTATGTGGACAGTGTTGTCTGGTTCTGAGCATCTGTCTCGCGGCTTGGTGTGTGATAATGGATGCCACCACCTGACTGTGGGACTGGTATGACGACCCCTACACCGCGTTGTTCCTGCGTGAACATGCATATGTATATACTGTCATACGGGTCGGAGATAATATGCCAAATCAGCATCCAATACCAAGACAATGTACCGTGTGCTTCAAATACTGTAAATTAATTATGTTTATCAATGGGCATCGTCTGTGTAAAGTTCCAGTCTAATTCACTTCCACCCACTGCGCACGCTGATATGACTCCCGAGTTTTGAAACTGAACCCAAGACAGATTTAGTGATACACCGGTTGCCTTGAAAGGTTTAGGGTTAGGATCATATTTGTATCAAACAGATCTTAAACACGTAGACCCGTTAAGATCCGGGCTAGAATTGATCTTCAGTAACCCATGCTTGTCGTAAGAGGTGACTAACGGGATGGGGTGGTCAGGCTCGCTGACTTGGTTGGCAAATGACATCGTATCCCAATTGCGTAGATCGATGCTCATGCTGTTGATCACTGCATTATCTGGTCCAGACTCGATATTTACAGACCGTCGCCATATAGCTGGAATATTGCAGAATGCGGCGAAATGCTAAACACACTCACTCACTCTTAAACACGGAACAGTGTCTTTAATGACTGGTTGAATGGTGCTCCAATTCCATTTGCTTTAGTTTGAGGTGAACGATTCCTCAGAAAAATATTAACAATTTATACGTAAAAGAGACGACAATGCTAAACCGGCTTTTGTCATTGCCTCCGGATAGGTTTCCAGCTACAATATCGTCCCTGTGATGTTGGTATTGTAGTGGTGAAGTACGTGAGGCTGGGTTGACCTCTAGGACTGGGACACTTTGACTGGTGTAATATCCGTGTCCAATGTGACAGTCACAGTAACGGTGACCTGGTAAACTGACCTACTGAACCCTGCCCGGTAATGTACAGTTATTGATATCTGTGGCCAAGATAATGCTACCATTTTGTAAACATCTGTGTACATGGCAACGTCGGTGTATACCTGAACACCGATATGTATGTATGTATGTATGTATGTATGTATGTATGTATGTATGTATGTATGTATGTATGTATGTATGTATGTATGTATGTATGTATGTATGTATGTATGTATGTATGTATGTATGTATGTATGTATGTATGTATGTATGTATGTATGTATGTACGTATGTATGTATGTATGTATGTACAATGTATGTATGTATGTATGTATGCATGTATGTATGTGTGTGTGTGTATGTGTATGTTTGTATGTGTGTGTGTGTGTATGTATGTATGTATGTATGTATGTGTGTGTGTGTGCGTGTATGTATGTATGTATGTGTGCATGTGTGTGTGTATGTGTGTATGTCACGTGTGTGTATGTATGTATGCATGTATGTATGTATGTATGTATGTATGTATGTATGTATGTATGTATGTATGTATGTATGTATGTATGTATGTATGTATGTATGTATGTATGTATGTATGTATGTATGTATGTATGTATGTATGTATGTATGTATGTATGTATGTATGTATGTATGTATGTATGTATGTATGTATGTATGTATGTATGTATGTATGTATGTGTGTGTGTGTATGTGTATGTATGTATGTATGTATGTATGTATGTGTGTGTATGTATGTATGTGTGTGTGTGCGTGCGTACGTCTGTGTGTGTATGTGTGCATGCGTGCACGTGTATGTGTATGTCTGCACGTGCGTGTATGTATGTGTGCGTGTGTGAGTTTATTTATGTTGGTTGAATGGTATTTTAATGCCATAGCTGACAACCACAAAGCATATCTATTAAGGTAAATGCAGTGTTATTGAAGTGGTATAGGGGTTTCTGAAACTGTTACCTACCCCTCACCGAACAAACAGTGGAGCGACATGTGGTCATCTTATTATCTGTAAAGCGTGCTGTAGCCTCTACATAGTGCACGTGATGTGGTTAATAACTGCAACCCCCTGGTAAATATACCCACGGTGATGTCACTCTGTAATGTATGTGTTACAAGTAGGTGATAACACGCGTGTCTGTCACGTGATACGCTGCTGTCACCTGAACACACCTGGTCACGAGGCCCAGTTTGGTTTTATTAACCTCTTATTGCGTAATAACCTCGGAAACGCATCGGTGTACCAGGCAAATTCCCCCACCTAACCCCTGTTAATCACCCTTTGTTCAGCCGTATATTGCAGCTCTATGACGGCGGTTTGTGTACTCTTGGCCTGGTCAGTCCAGTTACTGAAATTATGAGCTTTGTAGTGCGGATGTAGATACCACAACATGTATCAGCCAGGGGCCCGTGTCACGAAGCGATCGTAGCGCTGTCGTAAGTCTATGTTAAAGTATGGGGGTTATGATCACCTTAGCGATACGATCGCTTTGTGAAACGGGGCCCTGGTCGCCCTTTACAACAAAGCTGAGTTGCTGAGGACTGGGTTGCTTTCGGGGGTCGGATTCACCATTTTACATGTTCCTTAGAATGGACTTGAGCTGAGAGAGAACTCAAAGAAGGTTATTGTCTGATGACTTGATGCGGTAGAAAAATAATGAAATCGCGGTGAAATACTATGATTGCACGAATACAACAAAAATTCGTTCAATGACACGAAGCCTGGGTCAAGAAAGCAAGTGTATATAAATGTAAACACGTCCATTTTGCATCACATTTGTCTGTAGTTAGAGGCTGAAATGCACGAGCACAACGTATCAATACATTCGGAACTTAGTAAACGTGATCAAATCAACGAGTGAGTGAGGGAGTGGGTTTAACACTGCTTTGTCCAATAGGTACAAGCCATTGGCATCACACCTGGAGATATTGAGGCGACATGACAGCACAGAGGTATCGGGGTGACGTCTTGCAGTCCACCCTGCTGTCTGTGCACACTGAATCTCTCTGTCCACGGAGGTATCGGGGCGACGTCTTGCAGTCCACCCTGCTGCCTGTGCACCCTGAATCTCTCTGTGCACAGAGGTATCGGGGTGACGTATTGCAGTCCACCCTGCTGTCTGTGCACCCTGAATCTCTGTGTCCACGGAGGTATCGGGTGACGTCTTGCAGTCCACTCTGCTGTCTGTGTGCCCTGAATCTCTGTGTCCACGGAGGTATCGGGGTGACGTAATGCAGTCCACCCTGCTGTCTGTGTTCCCCGAATCTCTCTGTCCACGTAGGTATCGGGTGACGTCTTGCCATACATCCTACTGTCTGTGCACCCTGAATCTCTGTGTACATGGCGGTATCGGGGCGACGTCTTGCAGTCCACCCTGCTGTCTGTGTGCCCTGAATCTCTCTGTCCACGTAGGTATCGGGTGACGTCTTGCCATCCATCCTACTGTCTGTGCACCCTGAATCTCTCTGTCCACGTAGGTATCGGGTGACGTCTTGCCATACATCCTACTGTCTGTGCACCCTGAATCTCTGTGTACATGGCGGTATCGAGGCGACGTCTTGCAGTCCACCCTGCTGCCTGTGGTCCCTGAATCTCTCTGTGCACAGAGGTATCGGGTGACGTCTTGCAGTCCACCCTGCTGCCTGTGCACCCTGAATCTCTCTGTCCACGGAGGTATCGGGTGACGTCTTGCAACCCACCCTGCTGCCTGTGCTCCCTGAATCTCTCTGTCCATGGAGGTATCGGTTGACGTCTTGCAACCCACCCTGCTGCCTGTGCTCCCTGAATCTCTCTGTCCATGGAGTTATCGGGTGACGTCTTGCAGTCCACCCTGCTGCCTGTGGTCCCTGAATCTCTCTGTCCATGGAGGTATCGGGTGACGTCTTGCAACCCACCCTGCTGCCTGTGGTCCCTGAATCTCTGTGTCCACGGAGGTATCGGGTGACGTCTTGCAACCGACCCTGCTGCCTGTGGTCCCTGAATCTCTGTGTCCACGGAGGTATCGAGGCGACGTCTTGCAGCCACCGTGCTGCCTGTGGTCCCTGAATCTCTGTGTCCACGGAGGTATCGGGTGACGTCTTGCAACCGACCCTGCTGTCTGTGTGCCCTGAATCTCTGTGTCCACGGAGGTATGGGTTGACGTCTTGCAACCCACCGTGCTGCCTGTGGTCCTTGAATCTCTGTGTCCATGGAGTTATCGGGTGACCTCTTGCAGTCCACCCTGCTGCCTGTGCCCCATGAATCTCTGTGTCCTCGGAGGTATCGGGTGACGTCTTGCTGGCAACCCTGCTCTCTGTGTGCCCTGAATCTCTCTGTCCTCGGAGGTATCGGGGTGACGTCTTGCAGTCCACCCTGCTGCCTGTGCACCCTGAATCTCTCTGTCCACGGAGGTATCGGGGTGACGTCTTGCAACATGCCCCTAATTATACCTATAACCATATCAGACCTGATAACACTCTGGGATAACATGGTGTTCAGGATTATATACCTATAACATCACAAGATGGCTGATACCACTATGGGATAACATGGAGATCAGGATTATATACCTATAACATCACGGGGTGGTGAATACCACTATGTGATAACATGGTGTTCAGGATTATATACCGAAACATCACGGGATGGCTGATACCACTATGGGATAACATGGATTTCAGGATTATATAACTATAACATTATGGGGTGGTGAATACCACTATGGGATAACATGGATTTCAGGATTATATAGCTATAACATCACGAGATGGCAGATACCACTATGGGATAACATGGTGTTCAGGATTATATAACTATAACATCACGGGATGGTTGATACCACTATGGGATAACATGGTGTTCAGGATTATATAACTATAACATCACGGGATGGTTGATACCACTATTGGATAACATGGTGTTCATGAATATATACCTATAACATCACGGGATGGCTGATACCACTATGTGATAACATGGTGTTCAGGATTATATACCTTAACATCACGTGATATTTGATACCACTATGGGATAACATGGTGTTCAGGATTATATACCTTTAACATCACGGGATGGCTGATACCACTATGGGATAACATGGGGTTCAGAATTATATACCTTTAACATCACGGGATGGCTGATACCACTATGTGATAACATGGTGTTCAGGATTATATACCTTTTACATCATGGGGTGATGAATACCACTATGGGATAACATGGTGTTCAGGATTATATAGCTATAACATCACGCGATGGTTGATACCACTATGGGATAACATGGTGTTCAGGATTATATACCTATAACATCACGGGATGGCTGATACCACTATGGGATAACATGGGGTTCAGGATTATATACATTTAACATCACGGGATGGCTGATACCACTATGTGATAACATGTTGTTCAGGATTATATACCTTTTACATCATGGGGTGGTGAATACCACTATGGGATAACATGGTGTTCAGGATTATATAGCTTTAACATCACGGGATGGTGAACACCACTATGGGATAACATGGTGTTCAGGATTTTATACCTATAACATCACGGGATGGTTGATACCACTATGGGATAACATGCTGTTCAGGATTATATACCTTTAACATCACGGGGTGGTTCTTACCACTATTGGATAACATGGTGTTCAGGATTATATACCTTAACATCACGTGATATTTGATACCACTAAGGGATAACATGGTGTTCAGGATTATATACCTTTAACATCACGGGATGGCTGATACCACTATGTGATAACATGGTGTTCAGGATTATATACCTTTTACATCATGGGGTGGTGAATACCACTATGGGATAACATGGTGTTCAGGATTATATACATTTAACATCACGGGATGGCTGATACCACTATGTGATAACATGGTGTTCAGGATTATATACCTTTTACATCATGGGGTGGTGAATACCACTATGAGATAACATGGTGTTCAGGATTATATAGCTATAACATCACGGGATGGTTGATACCACTATGGGATAACATGGTGTTCAGGATGATATAGCTATAACATCACGGGATGGCTGATACCACTATGGGATAACATGGGGTTCAGGATTATATACCTTTAACATCACGGGATGGCTGATACCACTATGTGATAACATGGTGTTCAGGATTATATACCTTTTACATCATGGGGTGGTGAATACCACTATGGGATAACATGGTGTTCAGGATTATATAGCTATAACATCACGGGGTGGTTGATACCACTATGGGATAACATGGTGTTCAGGATTATATAGCTATAACATCACGGGATGGTTGATACCACTATGGGATAACATGGTGTTCAGGATTATATAGCTATAACATCACGTGATATTTGATACCACTATGGAATAACATGGTTTTCAGGATTATATAGCTATAACATCACGTGATATTTGATACCACTATGGAATAACATGGTGTTCATGAATATATACCTATAACATCACGGGATGGCAGATACCACTATTGGATAACATGGTGTTCAGGATTATATACCTTAACATCACGTGATATTTGATACCACTATGGAATAACATGGTGTTCAGAATTATATTCCTATAACATCACGTGATATTTGATACCACTATGGAATGACATGGTGTTCATGAATATATACCTATAACATCACGGGATGGCTGATACCACTATTGGATAACATGGTGTTTAGGGTTATATACCTATAACATCACGGGATGGTTGATGCCACTATTGAATAACATGGTGTTCAGGATTATATACCTTAACATCACGGGATGGTTGATACCACTATGGGATAACATGATGTTCAGGATTATATACCTATAACATCACGGGATGGTGAACACCACTATGGGATAACATGGAGTTTAGGATTATATACCGAAAACACCACGGGATGGTTGATACCACTATGGGATAACATGGTGTTCAGGATTATATACACGGGATGGTTGATACCACTATGGGATAACATGGTGTTCAGGATTATATACCTTTTACATCACGGGACGGTGAATACCACTATTGGATAACATGGATTTCAGGATTATATTGCTATAACATCACGAGATGGCAGATACCACTATGGGATAACATGGTGTTCAGGATTATATAGCTATAACATCACGGGATGGCTGATACCACTATGGGATAACATGGTGTTCAGGATTATATACCTTTAACATCACGGGATGGCTGATACCACTATGTGATAACATGGTGTTCAGGATTATATACCTTTTACATCATTGGGTGGTGAATACCACTATGGGATAACACGGTGTTCAGGATTATATAGCTATAACATCACGGGATGGTTGATACCACTATGGGATAACATGGTGTTCAGGATTATATAGCTATAACATCACGTGATATTTGATACCACTATGGGATAACATGGTGTTCAGGATTATATACCTATAACATCACGTGATATTTGATACCACTATGGAATAACATGGTGTTCATGAATATATAGCTATAACATCACGGGATGGCTGATACCACTATTGGATAACATGGTGTTCAGGATTATATACCTATAACATCACGGGATGGCTGATGGATAACATGGTTGATACCACTATGGGATAACATGGTGTTCAGGATTATATACCTATAACATCACGTGATATTTGATACCACTATGGAATGACATGGTGTTCATGAATATATACCTATAACATCACGTGATATTTGATACCACTATTGAATAACATGGTGTTCAGGATTATATACCTTAACATCACGGGATGGTTGATACCACTATTGGATAACATGATGTTCAGGATTATATACCTATAACATCACGGGATGGTGAACACCACTATGGGATAACATGGTGTTCAGGATTTTATACCTATAACATCACGGGATGGTTGATACCACTATGGGATAACATGCTGTTCAGGATTATATACCTTTAACATCACGGGGTGGTTCTTACCACTATGGGATAACATGGAGTTTAGGATTATATACCGAAAACACCACGGGATGGCTGATACTACTATCGGATAACATGTTATTTAGGATTAGATATATAACATCATGGTATAGCTGTGTGAAGACTGTCATATTTTTTCGTGATGTGATTCGTGAGGATTCGAGATCAGTGCTAGACTGATCAAGCTTATCAGCTGATTTTGTTCACGGCTTGTCGCCGGTGTTGTTGTCACGTGATGGCGTTTCCGCGACCAACCCCTCAGCTGTCACTATACAGGACGTTCATGTCCATGTATGCATTAAAGTGTGCAGCTGCATAATAGGACGGGAGTCATTTCTAAGAAATGAAGAGTGATTCTCGAGGAATAGACTTCTCGAGGAAAAGACTTCCCGAGGAATAGCTCTGTTACTCTTGGCATTGATATCTGGGTCGGGAGGAAACAGCCACGCCCAAAATGTCAAACTTCGTACCCGTGCATCAACAGGCGAGTGTTAGTGAGTATAACGACTGCATTTCGCTCGGCCGTAAAGGTCAAGGCTTGTTCAGTAGAGGTCACTGTACACCGAAAACATCGACCTCCGAAATGTGAAACATACTGAATTTGTTATAAAAAACAACAATGTGTTTCGAAGAAACATTCAACAGGTGACACTTAAAGGATAAAGAATTGGAAACATTTGAGCACTGAATATGCTCAAGACAAGAATAACTACATTTAAACACCCCGTGGGTCTGTTGAGGCTCACAAGGTTAATAATCAGCTGGAATCAGACCTAAATTTCATTTCATGTAAACTCAGCTGTTCTGGTTATTCAAACAGTTCAGACAATTAAGATGTATTGGAGATATGGTAAATGACCTCCTCATCACCTGATTGATATACTTCTCTATAACTGAATAATTGTCGTTGAAATCGTGTTTAAATTTATCAAAAACATTCGTTTGAATATAAATGCATTACTATTGATAATATATGGAAAGATAAGGCAAATAAATTTGAATCAAGATTACTGGTAAGATATTACTGTTCTTGTTTTTTCAACTCGACGTAGATCATTGGCGATATATGGACAAATGACCAGTGTTATATGAAACTGATGGACAAATGGTCATTTACGTTGTCAAGAATTGTTAAGTTTACCGTGTTGATAGAGGCGGGGTGTGTAGGTAAACAACTCGCGTGTCGTGATGAAAGTCTAGCTTGTATTCCAATAAGATATCCTTCAGGTTACAGTTAGCACCTGGCGTGAACAGAATCTATTTACTGACACAACGACACTGGCGAACCGAAATGACACTACCTTACTGACTGTTATCCAGGTGTTGTTCAGTATGTAGCACAACACCGACACAACCACACAGACACAATCTTACTGACTGTTACCCAGGTGTTGCTCAATATGTAACACAACCACACCGACACAACCACACAGACACAATCTTACTGACTGTTGTCCAGGTGTTTAAGGCATAGCACAACCACACTGACACAACCACACAGACACAATCTTACTGACTGTTACCCAGGTGTTGCTCAATATGTATCACAACCACACCGACACAACCACACAGACACAATCTTACTGACTGTTGTCCAGGTGTTTAAGGCATAGCACAACCACACTGACACAACCACACAGACACAATCTTACTGACCGTTGTCCAGGTGTTGCTCAATATGTATCACAACCACATCGACACAACCACACAGACACAATCTTACTGACTGTTGTCCAGGTGTTTAAGGCATAGCACAACCACACTGACACAACCACACAGACACAATCTTACTGACTGTTACCCAGGTGTTGCTCAATATGTATCACAACCACACCGACACAACCACACAGACACAATCTTACTGACTGTTGTCCAGGTGTTTAAGGCATAGCACAAACACACTGACACAACCACACAGACACAATCTTACTGACTGTTACCCAGGTGTTGCTCAATATGTATCACAACCACACAGACACAACCACACAGACACAATCTTACTGACTGTTGTCCAGGTGTTTAAGGCATAGCACAACCACACCGACACAACCACACAGACACAATCTTACTGACTGTTATCTAAGTTTTATTCAAGGCATAGCTGAACCACCCCGACTCAATCTTACTGACTGTTATCTAAGTGTTTTTCAAGGCATCGCACAACCACACCGACACAACCACACCGACACAACCGCTCTGACACTCACTGACTGTTATCCAGGTGTTGTTCAACGACACGAAGTTCCGCGAGGGGTTGCTGGTCACCAGGAATGACGTGGAGCTGTTCAAGTGTTTCGATGGCGTTGACTACATCGACCACAGCAAGGAGAGGAAGCAGAACTTCAAGTTCAAGACATGCAGTGTATCAGGTTTGTCAGCTGGAAACAACTCCACGATAACTTAAGTGACATACTGTTGATAAATCGGAATAGTAGGGCAGTGGTTCTGTGGCTTTTAAACTGAAAAATAAATATCCGTCACTGATGTTTTCTGTTTGAGGAATGTGAGTCACACTATATGTAATGGTTTCATTGCTCTAAGCCATTTTGAAGACAACGAGGGGAAATTTGTGGACAAAATAACGCGCCAGTTCGTTTCTGTTTTGTTCAGGTATTGCCTATCTTTCCAAGGGAGACAACCTACGGTTAGTGAATCTCTACCCCAACACTAACATCGATGTCAGTAAAGGATCGACATTCATCGGCTTGGTGCAACTGATTCCCTCGACAGACCCGAACTAACTACCCGAGCCACTACCGAACCACTACCATGTGACTCGGGAGATAACTAACCATATCATTAGTTAAAACATCAGCATTTATGAGACGAATAGTTCTGAAAGTGTGTAAAACAATCAACATTACCGTGTCTGTGTAGTGACGACTGTTCGTGACCTGATGAGCTGAAGTGAGTGAGTATTCTCGTCTTGTCAGCTTCAGCTCGAACCAAACTCGGAAGTGACGGAGAATCCCATGCGCATGGACATGGTAAAATCTAGAAACAATGACCGCGGACTGGGACTAGAATCCACCATCACATAAGTGAACGTCGGCGTCCTCGACGTCTGACCTACTCGTGAGATGTAAACAGTTAAAGATGTACTCACAGTGTTCCGAGATAACAATGTATTGATGTATATTTGTAAGAAGTACTTCGGGGTAAGTGTGAGATACGAGCTGTTTGACTGAGATGACCTTTAACTGTGCAGTGAGTCAGAGTGGTGTCGTGTGTGTCTCTGTTTAAACTATTGTGGGTGTACATATACAGGAGGGCTTAGTTAGACGCTTATCAGGAAATAACGAAATGAGCCACGTGGACGTTTATACAGATACCAAACATGCGTCAGATCTGCATTTACTTTATTCCATGAGAAATACATCTCGAAATACCAGGTTGGTTTTGCGCATGTTGATTTAAATATTCTCAGGCTAGACAGAGACACTACACATCTTGTACACTTGTAACATGCGAGGAACCAACAGCATGAATACTGTTCTGTATACCGTAGTACACGTGGACAGGTACTGCTGGAGTCAAGTAACCTTCACACTCAATATTTTACTGAGGCAGCTAAACATACATTGCCACAAAAACACCGCCCATAGTAATGTGGTGAAACCTATATGGTATCATCATGGTTTACAGATTAACATGAAAATGCAGCAGAGAGGGTTCGGGTGATCCTGGCACAGTCAGGCTGGTAAGGCTCATCATCAGCTCAGGGTCCTTGCCCCCTCTACACGCAGCCCAGACAGCGAATGGGACTTCTCCCAGAAAACACTGCCAGTCGAACCCATCAAGAACTTTCCGGAGAATATGAAGACTCCCCAACACTGCAGCCTTCTGCATTACCCAGAGTGTCAGAAGGGCTGTGCTCCAGGTGGAGAACCCGGGCACTCTCCTGATCTGCGCCAAGAGATTAGGAGGTGCCAACCCAAGGGCACCGAGAACAATGGAGAGTCTGACGACAGTATACTTGGGATGCAAGCGAGACATTTCAAAGGCGAGGTCCGCATATTTAGCATGCTTTTCCTGACTCTTGCCAATCATATTGCTGTCAAAAGGGACAGAAAATTCAATGATATAAATGAATTCATTGGCTTTATCAAAGAGGACAAGATCAGGTTTGTTGGCAGGAATTCTGCTCAGACTATATGGGCCTATTCCACAAGCATCATTTTCCATGACGCCCTGGACATGTTCAGGGTCGTACCATGGATGGACCTCAGAGTCAAAGCCACAGGCATGGCGAAGACGATAGTAAAAGCAACGAGCCATGCCATCAAGGGCATCCACTGACAAGGTGTTGGACAGTCTCTGTAAATTTATTGCACAGTCAGCATTTCATGTCAATGTTTTCTTTAAGAATCACATTTTGGCGATTACGAGTGGGAAGTGACTGGTCCTGAGGAGCAAAAGGAAGCCCTCGGTTTCACATTTAAAACTATTATTATTATTATTATGCTAATATTTGTATAGCGCCAATATCCAGTTCAGCTGCTCAAAGGCGTTTTGTTTTTCCCCTCGATCATTGAATGTCAGTTTCAAACGGCACATCGTATTATCAATCTCAAGTCCCTGAGGATCATACAACTCTTGCAGCCACTAGGCGCATCGAGTTAATGTGGCTTTCCCATGGTACACTATATCGTGATTACAGCCCATTCCTGTTGAACCTTTATTTACGTTTATTTCATTATTTACATTCATGCTGTACATTCATTCATTCTGATAAAAACGGCCTCTTTACAAATGAAAGAGATGAGGGAAAATATTTCTTATATGGGCATTTATTATGCGCTAAACTCCATTCACTATGTAAATGCTCATAGCGCTAACAATTACAGCACAACACATTATTACGTGTATAATGCATTATTCTGTGCAAACGTTTAGCCACTCTTGAAGATCTTTGAAGCTAAATGATCTCAAACCTCAATAATCAAATCGTTTCCTTAGAAGGACAGTCGTAGTATGTGAGTATGGTTTTACGTATCTTTAAGCAATGTTTCCAGCAATATCACAGTGAGAGACACCGGAGACGGGCTTCACACACTGTACCCTCTTTGAGATTCGAACTCGGGTATCCGGTGTGACAAGCGACCTGCCAAGTCATAGAGCCATGCAATAGTAACGCTAAGGACCTAATAACGTGACTGATCACGCCAGGACCAAAGATGTAAAGTCCTGATTGCCGAGGTTCCACTGTAGGAAGGTCGACGTAAACAGAGTTCATTTTTCATTTAAACATAAACACAAACGTCCACTGCCTTTATCCCCAAGGAAGCTGGGCCTATCAGAAGTTCCTCAAGCATGACCTTCTAGACTTTGTACTGGGGTGTCAGATTGTATGTTTCTCTATTGTACATTCAGTTACTCGTGTGTATGTGTTCTCACATCTAACTGAAGCTTGCTGTGATTTGTGTGTCAATAAACTCTTTCCAAGAAATAATATAATCTCCGTTTCTGTGTATCTATGACATAACCGGAAACAAGTTTTCAATGTTCATGACACACTGTTTGTCCATGTCAACTCAAGTAGGCTACCTATGGCCCGCGGCATGACGTTCTGATTCAGTTATAAAATATTTCATACCCGAACTGCTTAGAGATACTTTCCACTCCAAGCTAAAGTTTAGTCAGTGTCCACATTTACCACCATATTTCTTATGCTATGTACAACAGTGTACAACTGTCGCTCTATATACAGCTGTGTACAACTGTCGCTCTATATACAGCTGTGTACAACTGTCGCTCTATATACAGCTGTGTACAACTGTCGCTCTATATACAGCTGTGCACAACTGTCGCTCTATATACAACTGTGTACAACTGTCACTCTATATACAGCTGTGTACAACTGTCGCTCTATATACAACTGTGTACAACTGTCGCTCTATATACAACTGTGTACAACTGTCGCTCTATAAACAGCTGTGTACAACTGTCGCTCTATATACAGCTGTGTACAACTGTCGCTCTATAAACAACTGTGTACAACTGTCGCTCTTTCTACAACTGTGTACAACTGTCGCTCTATATACAACTGTGTACAACTGTCGCTCTATATACAACTGTTCTCTCAGGATGTCTCTATGTTGAGTGCGTTCTGCGTACCATAGGGGCACTAGAAGATGTGATATTTCCATGGTCGACTGAAAACCTGGGCCTAGATTTTCGAAGCTCTCTTAGCGCTAAGATTGTCGTAAGTGACATACATTTACATTTGCTTACGATACTATCTTAGCGCTAAGAGAGCTTAAAAAATCTAGGCCCTGACTCGTGTAGTCCTTTAGCCAGCGAGACTAAGACGGCATGACCTGAACAAATGAGCCGGGGTATTGAAGCACTGGGGGTGGGGGGTGGGGGCGGGGTGACGTGCACAGAGCAGGTACCCACAGAATGACACTTACGGGTGGAGACATGTCTGCGTTATGTCGGAGGGCACCACATACGTATAAAATAATTTGAATGTGGTTCTATCACTTGTACAACAGAGTAGTAAATTGTGAACTGTGCTGTGTTCAGAGACGTTGAGTGCTCCACCCTCCGAGTGAGTGAGTGAGTAAGTGTGATTTTACGCAGCTTTTAGCAATACCCAGAAATGTACCCATGTGGGGAATCGAACCCGGGTCTTCAGCGTGACGCTTTATAAACCAGGCTTCCCCTAGCCAGACTCTGGGCCTATATTTTCTAAGCTCTCTTAGCGCTAAGATAGTCGTAAGTGCCATACATTAGCATAAACTTCCGACTACCTTAGCGCTAGGAGAGCTTCGAAAATATAGGCCCAGAGTCTGGCTGGGGGAAGCCTGGTTTAGATGCTGGTCTGTGGCAGTGATCAGGATACATAGAATATATTGATACAAGAGTTCTCCTTGCATTATTAAAATCTCATTTAACTTCTCTACTTGCTTGTGTTACAGGATGTCACCGTTTTGTCACGTGACAGGGCGACAGGAAGGTTGCATAATGTTTTGTCAAAGTAGAAAAGAACGTTTCTTGGAAGGTGACAATCTGTCGGCCTTGAGCGCTTCCTCGAGCACAATGAACGTGTGGCATACCCCTTGTGTGTAGCCGCTCTTCCACGAACAGGAGCAGTTACACGCACTATATCTCAGATGTTATTCTCCTGTTTTATGGTGATATAATAGACACAGTTTGTTTTGTGTCCCCCAAATACTTCGTACAGAACTGTTAACGTAAATCCACAACTGTCTGCGGGATATACATGTATAGTTACGCTGTATTTAGATCCTTGCAAAATAAACACATTTAGGTATAGCTTTGATTGCTAAATGTTCAGAGAATACCTGTTTCATGCTCTATATTTTCAACACCGAAAGATGACTTACAAGCTGGTAATTGATTTAACCGATTCTACTTTTTCAATTTGTTGTTTGCTAACCTTGTTATCATCTTTCTATACCACACACAGTAACTAGGATATCATAAACCATCAGGACAATACCAAACACAGTTACTATGATATCACCAACCATCAGGACAATACCACAGATAGTATCAATGATATCACCAACAATCAGGACAATACCACACACAGTTACTATGATATCACCAACCATCAGGACAATACCAAACACAGTAACAACGATATCAACAATCATCGGGACAATACCACACACAGTAACAATGATATCACCAACCATCAGGACAATACCACACACAGTAACAATGATATCACCAACCATCAGGACAATGCCACACACAGTAACAATGATATCACCAACCATCAGGACAATACCACACACAGTAACTATGATATCACCACCCATCAGGACAATACCAAACACAGTAACTATAATATCACCAACCATCAGGACAATACCACACACAGTAACTATGGTATCACCAACCATCAGGACAATACCACACACAGTTACTATGATATCACCAACCATAAGGACAATACCACACACAAGAACTATGGTATCACCAACCATCAGGACAATACCACACACAAGAACTATGGTATCACCAACCATCAGGACAATACCACACACAGTAACAATGATATCACCAACCATCAGGACAAAACCACGCACAGTTACTATGGTACCAACAACCATCAGGACAATACCACACACAGTAACAATGATATCACGAACCATCAGGACAACACCACACACAATAACAATGATATCACCAACCATCAGGACAATACCAACCAGTAACAGTGATATCACCAACCATCAGGACAATACCAAACACAGTAACAATGATATCACCAACCATCAGGACAATACCACACACAGTAACAATGATAACACCAACCATCAGGACAATACCACCAACAGTAACAATGATATCACCAACCATCAGGACAATACCACACACAGTAACTATGGTATCACCAACCATCAGGACAATACC